CTAGGGGCTCCTGGCCTTACTACTAGGAGGAAGGACGCTACTAGGGGCTCCTGGCCTTACTACTAGGAGCAAGGACGCTGCTACTAGGGGCTTGGCCAAACTTTGATCCTTCGACTGTGCTGTTCCATGTCCAGGACCAAGTCCGCCAAAGTCCACCGGGTCCGCAATGGCCGGGGGCCTCGCAATGCCTGGCACAAGTCGAGCAAGTGAAGCCAAAGAGCGAGGTAACAAATTGCTTCAACTTGGGGAAGTTCAAGCTGCTCAGAAAGCTTACCAAGAATCTTTGATGCTGATCCAGAAGCTTACGAAGTCTCAAGTTTCGGTCGGTATCTTGCGGGAGCTGGAGGAGCTTCAACTTTCATGTTTTCTAAATTTGGCACAGTGCAACTTGAAGAATGAGGACTATGCTGTGGCTATCAAGAATGCATCTAGTGCCCTTGACATTGACGCCATGAACTGCAAGGCATTGTATCGACGTGGCCTAGCCCAGTTGAAACTGGGATTTGTGGAAGAGGCAAAGACTGATTTGCTGAAGGCCTAGATGGCAAAAGAGACTGCTTTGTTGATTCTCAACATGTAAGTGTCAACTACGTAAACAATTTTAATGTCAAAGTTCAAAACAAAGCGTGGCAGCTTCCTGGTCTCAGCTTTGAGGCGTTCCAAAGCGCTCCCAATGCGGAAATCCGAGCTCGACTGGAGGAGTGCCGAAATAGACTCAGCGAAAGTGCCCAATGGCACAAAAACGCCTTTGGAGGAATCTTTGGCAAAGCACCAGAACAGCCAAAAAGCAGTCGCGATCTACAGAAGTTGCCGAAAGTCTGGTTGGATGTGCAAATTCAAAGCGATGCTGCACGTGTGTACCGACTCACGATTGCATTGTACAGCGACACGGTGCCCAAGACAGCTGAGAACTTCCGTTGCCTGTGCACCGGAGAACGAGGGAAAAATGAGAACGGAAAGGTCCAATTGCATTTCAAAAGGACTTTGATACATAAGGTGATCCCTCGAAACCTGTTGGAGGCTGGAGACATTGTGAAGTTCAATGGGACTGGTGGAGAGTCAATCTATGGACCTACCTTTGAAGATGAAAACTTTCAAGATTCACATCACAAGCGTGGCCTGCTGTCGATGGTGAACCATGGCCCAAACACCAACAACTCAAAGTTTATGTTTACATTACGTTCTTTACCTGAGCTTGATAAGAAGAATGTTGTTTTTGGAGAGATTCTTGATGGAATGCAAGCACTTGATGCTATAGAGGTGGTGGAAACTGAGTATCCTGACTGGCCAGTGAAGGAGATCATGATAGTTGCGTGTGGCGAGTTTCCATCCTGACCTGTGCAGCCAGAAAAGCTTGCTCGCTTTTTCTTGCTTTCCTGACGAGAGAGAGAGAGAGAGTCAGTCTGTAGGGCATGTCAAAAGTGCCTCAGCAGTGGCCTGTCAAGTTGTGGCAGGGGGCAACAATGGCTCGAGTTCATCCAGATCACATCAGTTATAGTGCGGCCCTTGCCGCCCTCAAACAGGAGAACTTATGGAAAACTTCACTGGGATTCTTGACACGAGCTTCAACCAGAGCAGCCAGAGTCAATCCAGGCACGTTGGGAGCGAAGCGTGTCTCTAACCGTGTCTCTATTTGTGTGCAATTATGCCTAGGTTGATTTGTCTAGTGTGTGCTATTGTGCCAAGTGGAAAACATGGAAAAAGAATGAAGTTATGCCTCTTGTCCAGGACATCGGCACGTGTGAGAGTTTCTTTGGCACAAAGAAGGGTTGAGCCTTTGCGCTGCGCTCTTGGCAGGCCGCAGCAGCAGCTTTGGCTCTGAAATGATGGTTCTTGGAGCATTGGCTCCAGGCGGTCACTGGCGACGGATTTGTGACCTCGCCAGGTCTGGAAGAAAAGTGAGAAAATTTCAAGCTCCTAGTAGCTTCATGCTCCTAGTAGTACGGCCAGGAGCCCCTAGTAGCGTCCTTGCTCCAATTTGTTAAGGAAATTGTTTGGAGAATCATGCGGATGTTGCAAACAACTCTAAGCACAAATCTAACGTGGCCAAGCTTGAGACGGGCCATTGGAACTTGCAGGACTTTTGGCCTCTCTGAAAGCGCTTTCCTCAGTGCTTTCCTCAGTGCTTGCAATGATTGGCGTTTGGCTTTGGTGGTGCTTCCTCATCATCCAGATGCTACTGAAGTGGCCGCAGCCCAGAGCTCTTGCGGCACTTGCCGCCAATGGCGGCGAGTCTTGAGCAACCTGGCACTGATAAGCAAGACACTCCAAGATACTGTACACTGTACTCCAAGGTCTTGCAGGTCTTGCATGTGCAAAACCTTTCAATATTTGTTAGCATGTGTTGATCACCATGCTTCTAGTTTTGATCCATTCATTTGCCTTGCCATGTGCATATGTGTTCCACAGTTGCTTGTATGGTCTGATCAGTTTATCCGTTGTTGATGTATTTTACATCTCATCGTTCGAGTGTCATGCTTTCCTTCTCACATTCTCTCTCTCTCTCTCTTTGTTTTTTGACCTCTGGACCTTACTGTTGGCCCTAGTAGCGTCCCTGCTCCTAGTAGCGATGCCAGGGCCCCCTAGTAGCTTCTTGTTCCTAGTAGTAAGGCCAGGAGCCCCTAGTAGCGTCCTTGCTCCTAGTAGCCTTTGTTGGCCCTTTCTCAAAAATGTTTCTTGACACCCATTGCATCCCATTGCTACGAACATACAAGTTACAAGTCTTTCTTGTCTTTTGCACTAGTGTTCCTCTTTTTGGATGCTCTTCTCATTGAAAGAAGCCGCCTTGACTGGAGGAAGGCAAACATGACCGAAAGCAAGGAAGAGAGATGAAGAAAAAGGCCTCCTGAAGGCCTGAAGGTCAAAAAAATGCAAGGAATTGACTTTTCAACTTATGCTTGTGCAAGAGCTTGTGAAACATGAGAGCAGACAAATGCGGTGGGATCCATTTTCGGTCGACTTGGCAGACACGGGAACATGGTTTTGTAGCCACTTTGCTCGAGTGTTGCGCACAATTGCATACATGAATAGCGGTATAGTGAAAATGGAGGGCTTTAACATTCACAGTTCATCGATTGTTCGGCGCTAGTGCATCATGAAACTCTCACAAGCACGTTGAGATTTTTCGAGAGAGGTGAGAGAGTACTTTGAACCTGCAGACTGCGCTGCGTTGCTTTCTTTGCGTTCGTGGTTTGTTGGCACTGGTCATCCCTAGGCATCAGGACAAATAGAACGCTAGTCAAACACCATGCAGCGGCAGCGCAGCTTTGTTCACAGCATCAGCCGGGTTCTACAATGTTCATGCTTTCCCGGCTATTCCATCCTTTACTTTTTTTTCTGATGTTTGCAATTGTGCAAGCTGGGAAGCACGAGATCTTCACCAGCTTGAGGCCCTGAAACATCACTGCCCCATTTTGCTAAGGACTTCTGGGTTCCTTGCAACTCTCCCGGCAGTTTGCAGATGTTTTGGTGAATGCGTTGGCCTGCGATGCAGCCTCTAGGCACGTTCGAAAACCATGCTCGAAGTCGATTGCACATTGCTCTAGTCGAGAAACTGCAGAGGTCAGAGGTGTGGGGCCTGTGGGGTGTTTTGCCAGGCAGAGCCCTGCAACTGTAGCATCGCTTCTTTGGCAAGCTGATTTGACTGCCGCACGGTGCCTGAAAATGTGCGCCTTGCTGAGCCGGGTGACGCTGTGCAGCTCAGCTCTCGTTTGTTTGCGTGTTTCTGAAAGCGTTTGAAAGATGTGACGTTTTGCGCATGTGATTCCAAAGTGCTTGCCTGATGACAACCGAAAGATTGCCATCAAATTTGTTGGGATGGCGGTGCGATATTCCCCCCACAAAAATTCCTAGCCCCGAAACAGCCAAGAAAGGCAATGTGATCGATGAGCTTGACAAGCATCGCTTCAGAGGTAGCATGGCAATGCATTGCATGGCTGCAAAGAATGGGCTTAGATATCCAGCCATGGGCTATGGATGTGCTGCGCAGCTTCCACAACAGTTTTGGTTGCTACAAAGGCGCTGTTTGTACACGGGCTTGCCAAAATTGCTGTGGTGACCCAAATGACACGAGTATGTATATATATATATATCTCTCTCTATTTGTTCTATTCTATTCTAGAGCCATGCTGTTTGACAACAGGTTCTTGTTTTCTTTTTGCACCAGAATAGAAGCCTAGAATCTGAATAAAGACGTATTTGTGTAGCATGTCTAGCATGAGTATATACAGTGTACAGAGGGGCATTCACCGAAATACTGCTATAGAGATCTACAGGTATATATGTAACTTTGTTGCTGTACAGTCTTGTGTGTTCCCCCAGACCCAACTGCTTACTAGGCTGTCTCACTGTAATGACAAGCAGAATGCACATAAGTTATCAGTAAAACATGAACCATTGGGTGATCCGTCAAAGAATGAGCGTTCACTAAGAACTAGAAAATGTGCTTTTTGGATCAAAGGCTAGAGTATTACGAAAACCAGCCGTGGGTCGTTAGGAAGGGATGGAGATGTGGCAACTTGTGATATTTTTTCGCACCCGACTGGATTTGAGGAGCTACACCTATTGCGACCTTTGCTGCTTCAGCGCGTCGGTGAGCGCGTGGCCAGTCCAATGACTATCAAGACAACATAAACATAATATAGCAGACATCAAACTCAACAAGCCATCGCAGTGAAAACACGCAATCACAACATCAAATAAATATGAACACCGACAACACGACAAGAGACAAGCAAACATAAGCTCGCATAAGTTTGTGTCAGTGCGCCTACGGGAGGAGAAGGGAAAATGTACAAAGTCCTTGTTTGCTTTGAGTTTGTACAGTAGCATAGGCTCCATCGCGGCAAGTGTACGCAAACAAGCGCAAGTGTGTTAGTTACGCACACCTGCAATCCAGACCCAGTTGGCAGAGGTTCGAAAGGCGCAAAAGTGCATATGTGTGATCTGGCTGCGCTGTGTGATGCCTTCCTTTTAAATCATTTAGAAGACCGTGCTGGTCGCACACATTACCATAGGCCCGACTGCAACGCAAAAAGTGTTGGACCGGCAGCTGTTGTTGGCGCACCTCCCACTCTCCCATGTGTTACATATCTATATAATGTGTTTGCAGCTGTGCAGTTCCATTGGCCAAGAGAAACAAGGAGAAACATATTTTAAAACTTGCCAATAGATTAAATCAATAGCCAAAGGAATGAATAGTTTGTAGATGTAGTGCAGTCTGTCTTGTCAAGCGGTTCCTTTTGGATGTTTGAGGTCGAAAGCCTGGAAGAAATAATGCAATCTCCAGGCCCATTCTGGACGGCGTTGGTTAGTTAGTTCTTCTTGAAAGTCAAGAATGACGCAAAGAGAACAGTTCATGCTGCAGGGCATACTGAATGAATTAGACAGAAAATGATAGAATGGCCAGAGGATTTGTTCAGGGTCAAGGCATTTGCCAAGGCTTGCCGCTTCAACCTCCAAACCTGGAAGGTCGCCTAGGAGAAGCAGAAGAAAGAGTAGATCCCGATCGCCAGTGGCAAAACTCAAGTCGCGTGAGGCTGAACTCAGTCAGAGAGTCTCAACGAGGAACAAGAAGTTACTGACAGGTCCGTTGCTTGTTGCGAAGTCACTATATAGCTATTTTTTTACTTTGCGGGAGGCGGCTGAGAAAGCAGCATCTGGTGAAAAGGACAAGACGAAGGCTGAGAAGGTTGAAAACGTTGAATCGTTGAAGAGTCCTCCTGCTCCTCCTCCAGCATTTCAGACCCCGCATTCACATGTTTTCACAGTCTTTATTCATTCAACACGATTCTCCAGATTTTGAGCACAAAATGCCGACAGCAAAGGCTAAAGTCATCGAGCATGGTGACACCGCAGATGCCCAAGATTGTGCTGCAAAATGTGTAGCTGTGTAAGCCGTGTAAGCTGTTGAACGGCTAAAAGCCAAAGACAACACGGAGAAAGCACGAGAAAGCACACTCTGTGCGAAAGCAAGGATGAACGGAAGGTCGGAGGCAAAAAGGTCCAAAGAAAGAAACCAAACGTATGAGTGCACATAAGCTGTAGTCAGGGCGAAATGGAGACGAACGTGGCCATAGCTGGGAGCCGAGTACTGTACAATCAAGGTCAATCAAGGAAGGAAGTGCCATATCAAAATGACTTATTCATTGTCATTCTATTCCGTGGACCTCTACTGTACAATGTTCTCATTGATAATGTCAATTGTGTACTTTATTTGGTTGCTTTGTTTTATGGGCCTTTATTTAGACCTTCAATCTTTTCTTGGATATTCGACCGTGGGCAGCGTCAGAGTTTCTCAGGTGCGAACTGGCATGCCCATGAACACTGGGGATCCTACCTACCAAGCGGAAATCTTTGTACCGCAGGAATTGGGAGGGCCATGTTGGCTTCGAATTTAGAATGGTGTCAGCCAGTATTCATTGAACATACGCAGAATCTGTATATATATATATATATATGTATGCTTCATATTCTCATGCTGGGGTTGCTTGCATCTAACTCGTCAACTTGCACTGTGTGTTGGACACAACTTACCCCTTACTTAGCACTTCACTTTCCTTTGCCGTTTCCTATTTTTTCCTTAAGACCGTCCAGAGTCCAGACCTGTCATATGTATTTGTCAGTGTTTATTCCGCACCCTTTTCTCTACCATTCTTCCTAGTAACAAAGACATTAATTACTACTAGTAGCAAATAGCTACTAGTAGCTAGGAGGCCATCGCTAGTAGGTTGGAGGCTATTACTACTAGTAGTACTACTTGTAACAAGAAACTATTAAATATCTTACTACTTTATCTTTACCCATTGCGAGCTCACCGCCATCCAGGGGGGGTCGGGATGCGGTCAACCATTCTGGTCGGCCTCGTGCGGGACTCGGGCGTTTTGTCGGTCAAGACCGGTCACCTGAGTCACCTGTAACGAAATCAGATTAGACACTATTCCAAACCCCACGTTTGGCAAGTCCCACTATTCCAAACGTAATTAGCCTTTAGTGTACACTAGGCTTGCTAGGCTTCCACAAAGGGCAGGTTGCCCTGTGCTCCCTGGACCTGGACCCGAGAAACACCAACCTAGCGGCAAATGCCCCACGCGCTCCATTTTTCTCCATATGTGTGAGAAAATGAGTTCAAGAAGTGCGATTGAGTTCACCAATGAAATGCCAAACAGATCCAAACAATACAATTACCATCATTGTTTCGTCCACTCATTCTCATGCACCCTCGGCTTCCCCGTGCCCGTAGCATGATGTCGTGCTATACCACAACACATACCTGGGTGATCAGCGGTTTGCGCAACACCCCAAAAAGGGCAAGTTGGGCATGCCAAGCATAGTCAGTACTTAATGGTGGTGCTTCGGGCTTTGATGCTTTGCAGAGCGTCTCCAATCGTGTCTGGTCTGGAGTCCACGTGGAAGCCTTGAAGCGCCCACGATTGTCGTCACTAACTTCTTGTTTTTGCCTAGTATCGAGTTGTCACAAGGGATGCCAAGGCGGACGGTATCCTGCTCCGTTTTGCGCGCAACATGTGACATCCTGATCGCTCGCAGGTGTCATGTGCATCCGCGGGCCTTCGCGCACATCGTGGCTGGGCAAAAAATTGGGTTCGAGAATGAAAGTGCAGGAAGCATCGGAAGTGCTTGAAAGCCAAGAGTGATTTCATGAGAAATGGGCTTCCAAGAAATGTGACACATTTGCATAAATCCACAATCAACTTAAAGAAATTGTGTTTAAGTAGAAAACGTTTGAGCATGTTCTGAGCTCCAGGAAAGAGCAAGCGCTCGTTGATGCCGAAAAGCTTTCAGAGGCTGCCAAGGATGATCCAAAGACTGTCGGGACCTTTGGGACCCTTAAATGAGACACGGCAGAGACACGAGATTAAACAGAATACATCTTACCTCAGGACAGTGATCCAAGGGCATTCTCAGTTCGAGAATTCATTATTTGGATTCAGTTCCTAAAGTTGCACAAAGTTCCTGGGGGTGCATGATAAGAAGTTGTGCAAAATCACTCAGAAAAGAAATAAGATCAATTAACTCACCAGAGGGTGGATTCAAAAACACAATATGGAGCCCACGAACCCGAATGCAAACACGTTCGAATAGCTACATATGTCCAAGTCGAACAACATGTTCTGTTTTACACAATGGTATGTGTTCTTGAGAAACTTCCACGGTTATGATGAGAAACTGAAGGTTTAAATTGGGAAGCAAATCAATAACAAGCACAACATACTCGAGACTCTGCCATCTAGCACTCGTGACTCTTCCATCCCCTGACCCCGGTATGCTGACGAAACTTCATAGATATATTCAAATCGATTGCCTGCGTAATAGACATGTTCAAGGCGTCATTTTTATCATTTTTTCCGGCTCCAGCTCGCTAACGTCGAGGCTCGTCAGCCACATGAGCAGGCAAACAAGGAGCATCATGCGCTGGGGGCTCCACCACCAAGCTCCGTAGCATTCATGAACAGTCTTCGTTTTGCATTCAAATCAGGCAATTTGGCAATGACGTAAAGGTTGTGGCAGATCCACATCACGAAGAAACGTTTGCATTGTCCAAAAATCTCAAATCAGCACCTGAAAATGGTAACCGTCCACATAACACAGAGAAATCCACAACTGCGGCAGCTGGTCTTGTAGTAAGTAGGAATGCAAGACCGTGCGTTGCTGCATCTCACCTACATCAACATGAAATACATAACACACATTCACAACGGAAGTGACTAGATCATTCAAAC